TGTGCTGTGTGTTTAAGTGCATGATTCAGCTCTCATGAATGCTCTCAAGGCAGGGCTCTGAAGTTGTGTTGTATCAGCTGATTGTATCAGCAGATTTCTCTGGGTGTGTTCAGATGGGAGACCTTTATATCCTCCAAAGCCTTCTCAGGTGTAAATAATGTTCTTCCCAATTTACAGCCCTGCAGCCGAGGAGAAACTCAGGCTTTTGTGTTGAAGTTTTCACCTCTGTGCATCGACCAAGCCCTCTGTGTTTACTAAGTGGGTCTATTCAGAAGGTAGAGACCAGAATAGAGCTGATGTGACTCATAGTGCAAACAAACAGCTGGAAAAAGTGAACAATGCTCAAATCTTCTGGGCCTCGAGTTCACTAAAGTGGTTTGGTAGGAATTTTAACTTAACAAATGCAAAAAACCCTGCTTGCCAGTTCACAGCTAATGCTGGGCTTCCTGTCCGGGGCTGTTGATCTGAGTTAGGCAATTCAGCTCGAATTCTTTTAGATTTGTGGCTGTGCCTGTTCAGATGTAGCTGCTGGGAATAACTGTGCTGCTCCTCAAATAGGAGCTGAAATAGTTTGTGGAGTCACCATGGCTGGGGTAGGAGGAGGCTCTCCCGTGCCACTTTTTTCTCATCCCAAATAAACTTTGTTTACCGGCTTCTTCAGGGCATGGAAGGAAAGGGGTTGGGTTTAGTTTTGTGTGTGTTTGAATTCAAGGCTGCCTGGAGACTGAAAACTGAGCTATTCTATGGGTTTAGATATTTTTCAATGCCTGTCCCCTTGGTAACAAAGCTGAAGTGCCCCCAGAGTTCTTTTCAGTGGTTCACTGCAGAGTCAGGGATGTTATACTCTGCTTTGGCAGGGGGGCTGCAGGAACAGACAAGGGTTTCCTTTCCAGCTGCCCTGTCATCGCTGGGAATCCTGGGCTGAACCTCTGCCTTTCTCCCTGTTCTGCAGCAAAATGTCCCGAGTTTTGGCTGTCAGAACTTCAGGGATCCTGTGGTGCTGCTCTCACAATCTTTGTAAATTCATCAGAGGTTTTATGGATCTGCAGAGGATCAGAGAAAAAGGAAATGGCTGTGTGGGCAGTCAGCAGTGGAAATTCTGCTCAAAGTGCAGCAACAGCTAAACCTGAAGCAAGGAAATAACTTCATTTGTGGTTTTGTTTAATTGATGTCTCCAGTGTCACTGTTTCAGACAGTGATCTGGAGAATGCAACTCTTACTTTGGTGTTACTGTGGCAACTACAACCTGTTGATTTCCTTGGATTGATTGGATTGAAGGATTGATTGAAGGATTGATTGAAGGATTATACCCCTTTGCCTCTTGCAAAACACAAGGATTTAGGGTTTTCCTGTTGCTGCAGCAGAAATACAGCAGCAATTTTGGCACTTGGTATAGGAGGCCTGGAATGCTGGGACACACAAAGGAGGCTTTCTTTTCCTGAGGACATATATTCTAATTTCTTTGGAGCAGTTCATATTCTCCAGGCAATGTTTGGCAAATAAACAGAGGGACAGAGAGAGCAAGTTGGGTAGAAATGCAACTATTTGCCCCCAAGATACAATCAGAGGCATTTTTGCAGCATGACTGTAGGGTGGGTACAGACTCTGCTAAGATTTACTGTTCTCCCCATACTTTAGAAATTCAGTCTGTGTTTGTGAGTTATTTTGATGCCACCCATTAAATGCTCTGCAAGTGCAGAAAGGCAGGAGTGGTTCTAGAGTGAGCAGCAGCTCTGTGTGTAACACTGGGTTGGCTGCAGCCCTTCCTGTGTGGGCTTTGTTTACGCAGCAAATTTAGACAAATTATCTGAACCCGTCACCGGAGCTGCAAATGAGCACAGCCTCGTGGTGACCTCACTGCCACCACTTGTCTCAGTCTCATTTAATCCAGCCAAGCTTTCCTGAGCAGCCCTGGGCAGGTAAGTCCTTGCTGTGTGTGTGTATTTTATCCAGGTGTGAATTGCCACCTAAAAAAAACCCCTGTGCTCATTTTTCCCTTGTAAGTGGCCAGTTACTTAATAAAATAAAGGTTTTCTTATGATATTGCTCTGTAGAAAGATACTTTAGATACATCATGAGATGCTTTAGGTGGTGGTAGGTGTGAAGATGGGAGAGTGTATTTGATGTGGAGGAACCAGGCATTAATTAATTCCCTCTAATGGGCTTTGCAGTGTGATGAGGTAGAGTAAGAGATTCCAGGCTCTGTGTCCACAGGTTTTCCCGAAGGGAACAGGACATTCCCCTCACTGTGGCTGTGCTGGGCCCTCTCTGAGCAGTGCAGAACTGGGCACTCCTTGGCAGAAACAAATTCAGAGGAAAGACAAAGGGCCCAAGTGCTGCTGGAGTCAGTTTGGGAGGGCACAGGGAGGCTGTGACAGAGGAGGGGGAGGCACAGCCAGAGCTGAACGTGCAGGGCACAGAGGAAGGATTTGGGGAGGGAGGCAAAAAGAGCTGCTGATTGCAGGGTGGAAATTAGAGGTGTTTTGGATTGGATACCAGGAGAGACAACAACTGCCTCCAGATGAGAGGCAGGGGAAGCAGCAGCAGCCAGGGCTCGCACACCCCACGGCAGGGAGGACACACAGCAGGGCCAGGGCAGCTTTGCCTCTCTGCCTTGGTGGCCTTTCCTCTGAAACCAGCAGCTTCCAGCCTCAGTGTCCAATCCTTGAACACTACCCTGGAGGAGCAGTCTCCAAACTCTGCCTCTGCTCTGCAGGCCAGGCACAGGGCCTGTGTTGTACCCAGTGTTGCAGTTTGTGCTGGGAGCACAGCAGGACACCCCTGGGGTTGTTTCTCAGCCAGGCTCCAGCACAGCCATTCCCGGGTAGCCCTGTCCTGGTTGTGTCACTGCACATCTGGAGCCCATAATAAGTTGTTGTCTTCCCCTGGTTGCTCAAATCATTGGATTTCTTCTCCCAAGTTCTTGTTTTTATCACTGCACAGCCAAGTGTCATTTAGCCGATCCATCTGTGCCGAAACCCTGTATTCCAAGATCTTTTCCTTGTTTTCCTTAAATAACTTCCCTTTGCATAAGACCTTGGCCTTGCATAGCACCCTTTCTGGGACTGAGCTGGACAGTTTTAGTAAGAGCAGCTCTCACTGTGCCTGTTTTCCATGTCTCCATCAGGACATCCCTCTTGTAGGGCCCTGGTGATCTCAGCTGGCAAATGCCCTCAGTACAACATCCAGAACACACATTTCTGGGGCTCCATTGAACAATGCAACATTTGCTGCCAGCAGCCATAAACCACACCAGCTGTTGGGGTAGATTCACACCTATTCCCTTCAGAAATGGCTCAGATTAATTCATTTTAGAAAAGAACACTATAATATACTATTTATTCACTGTAGCCCTCTTTCCCTCTTTTGCCTGTATTTACATTCTGCAGCTTGTTGGCAATGCAAGCTTGGATTAAAAAATGCCAAGTTAATTAGAAGACTAAATAAATTGTTTTTCAAAACTATCTTGTATACATATATCTGCAGATTCCAGTACATCCTACAGGGGGATGTTAACAAAGAAGATGATCCTGGGTCTTTCCTCCTTCAAAAAGTCTGTGAGGTTTGCCCAGCTGTGGCACTATACAGGTATTTAATTTATGAATAAAAAGCCCAAAGTATTTTTCCATTTGGAAAGGACCCATCTCTTTCTAATGTTATGCAACCCAGACATCTTGGTTTGGGTTCCCTGCAGCTGCCAAAGCCTTTCCCAGCTGCCTTCCTTGGAGTCAGGGTTCCAGCATATTTTTCACTGGGTCTCGGACCTCTGACACTCTGAACTTCCTTCCCAGAGATCAGAAATACCATCAGGACTAACACATTGTTTTTATTGCCTGTGTCAGTCTGAGAATTTCCAGTGAAACTTTTAAAGGTACATTGCCAAGGTGACATTTCCAAACAAAATGCATCAGCTGGGACGAGACAGAAACAGAGTGTTCTCCTGAGGGAGAAAAGAGAAAATATCCTCCTGGAGAGTGGAGAAAGCACAAAGCGGGGTCTGCTCTGTCCTTCGTGGAAGTTTGGTTGTGGAATTTTGCGCCTGGAGAGTTTGGCCCCTTATTTAAGCATCCTCTGAGAGATTCTGGAAGTGGGAAGCTCCTCCTGTGAGGAATTCACCCCTGTTAAGAGCAGAAGTGACCAGCAGCACACCTTGTGTGGCTGCTCCGTTCCTGGAGGGCCACAGGGAAAGTTTCCTGCCCAGTCTACTCACTGCAAACACTTGGAAAACGTGACAGATGGGTTTGCTGAGGTGGGAGATGGTTGGAGGAGTGATCTCTTCATTGGTGGCAGGTGGTTGGGATGCTACAATCAGCCAGGGTTGTGATTCCATTGGACTGAGTAGCTTTGATGGCTTTGTGTTCCTGCACAGGGTGTTGCTGCACCCTCAGAAACACTTGGTTGTGAAATGATTGAATTATTGAATGAGCTGTTGTTCTGTTGCCTCCCAAGCTCCTTTTGTGAGCACAGGAGCTGCAATCCATTGGTCCACCCCAAACCCCACGGTGTCACTCTGACAGGGGCACGTGTGGAAGTTACATTTGGGCGCAAAGCAGAGGCTGAACTTTGCATCTTGCTCCTCTGACAAGTTCAGGGAGGTGAGGCCGTATTCCTTCCCCACTCAGGTTGTTCAGATGAATCCTTTCAGTGCTTGTCTTCTCCAAAGCCTTTCCCTGCATCCAGTGCCAGCTGGAGCAGCCGGGGCTGTTCCTCTGCGTCCCATCAACTTCCCAGCTTTGAGCTGACAAAACGTTGCCTCTGTTGCTGATGTCTCTTAATTCCTTCCTCTCCCGTTGGCCTCGTGACGGGATATTTGGCTCGTTTGCCCCTCGCTGAGCCGTTGGTAATGGATAGCACATTGTCTGGAGCTGGAGCCTGCTGGGATTCAGCCTCTGAGTGGCTGAGGAGGCTCCGAGATTCCAAGAGCCCTGTTTGCACAAACACGTTCCGCCCCTGCACTGCCGAGGGGGTGGGTGTGTTTGTCCCTGATAAAAGATTGGCTTCTGCCCTTCATCTGCCCCAGCAGCGAGAGGAGGGAGCTGGGACTCCCCACAGCTTCTGCAGAGAGTGGAGAAGCCCATTTGCTCCTAGAAATGGGCAGAAAGGACTTCAATTATCTTTTCCTCACCATTTTCTGCACCATGGCTCTGAAGCTGAGCTGTGTCAGCTCCATGTCCATGGCAGGGCTGGGATATGTTGTTACAGCAGCTGTTGTGCTCTCAGCTGTGGTAAGTGATTAACATCCCAATTAAACCCTGGAAACCTTCTGGGTTTTAGCTACTTATAAGAGTCCCACTCTCTTTTAACTCTTTGTCGGGGGTTTGTGCAGTTCTGAGGTGGGAATTTGGGAGAAATGAAGTCGGGCTGACGGGAATCATGACGATGAAGTTCATTGTTCTCCATCTTTGACATCTGATTTCAGCTTAGGAGTCACTGGTACCTAACTTGCTATTTTGCTTTCTAGTTTGTAACATCCTTTATTTCTGCCTTGAAAGCTCAGCATATTGTCCTTTTGTCCCTCAGCTGCTGTGAACTGTCTTCTTTGTCAAAACACTGGATGCTTCTAATGGAATATTTGAATGTTTTCTTCCCTGTTACCTGATAGCATCCCAAGGCATGATGTGATCCATGGACAAACTCTGCTGCCAATGCAATAGAAACGTTCCATTTCCTTCCAGAATTACCAAAGGGAATTCTTTTATAATAGGGAAAAGTGTTGATGTTTGTTAAAGTAATGGATATTGCATAGTGTGAATATATTGCATAACAATGGCAATAAACATATTAAACCAAAATTGCAATGTCCTTAGGACAGGATGTTGTGTAAATTACTGTAATTCCTACAAGGGACAAGTTACACAGAAGTTCTGAAGTAACTTGCCAGAACAGAAGAACTTTAAGAAACCTGTTCATTACCTAAATCTGATGACATTCACAGCATTTTCCAGAAAGAGCTGGGTAAGATCACGCTGGTTTTAGGAAACCTGTAAACAATGTTTGTGCAAGATGTGCAATGTGCAGTTAAAAGGGATTTGTTTCCGAGAGGCTGGAATGTCATGCAGCATTTATAGGAACGGGAATTAGCCCTTCACTTATGTGTCATATTGAAAAGTTATAGATTGATAAGGAAAATATGTGGATTAAAATCAAGAGTGGTGGACAACAAACAAAGAAAATAGAGTCTAGGAAAGGGTAAGTCAGGAAGTGAAAATTAACAGTGATCATTGTGAGAGAAAGAAGGAATCTTTGCACTTGTTGCCTGGAACAGCAAGTTAAGGGGTCAGAAGCAATTTAATTTAAACACACCCTTCCCTGTATTCTGCACACTGAGCCCCATCCTCTGTCCCCCCCAGCCTGTCACCATGGTGGAACACGCCGAGTTCCTGAAGGCTGGCAAGGAGCCCGGCCTTCAGATTTGGAGGGTCGAGAAGTTTGACCTGGTCCCAGTGCCTAAAAACCTGTATGGAGACTTCTTCACAGGAGACTCCTACCTGGTGCTGAACACCATCAAACAGCGCAGCGGGAACCTGCAGTACGACCTGCACTTCTGGCTGGGTGAGTGAGGGGAGTGTCCCGGGAATAGGGAGCCCAGAGTGACCCCTGAGCCTCCCACTGCCCCTGCCTTGGCCAGGGAATGCCACCCAAGGAGATAAGAAGCCCGGCTGGCAGCACAGGAGGTGCAGCTCGGGGTGGGTGTAGCCCTGCTCACCTTCAATATTTGCGATGATTCCTAGGGCCACCTCTGTTCCAACAGTGACTAGGGCCACCTCTGCTCCTAAAAATACCTTTTCCTGATCAAGATGACACAGTAAGTCCCTGTTCTGCTGATGTTCATAGGAAGGACAAGATCTGAGGTGAAAGGGGTGGCTGAAATCCTTTCTGCCCCAGAGGTTGGAGGTTGGGTGTTACTCTCCTGCCTCAGGGAGTGGGATTTTCCCGTCCTACCTGCCTGCTGCAGTAAACGTCACAGAGGGCCATGTCAAGGCTTCCCCCACACCCTGCAAACCCCAGACCCTTTGGCAGCATCCTCCAAGCTGTTGGCTTTCCCTGTTCCAGGTGATGAGAGCTCCCAGGATGAGCGAGGGGCCGCTGCCATCTTCACGGTGCAGATGGACGACCACCTGCAGGGCAGGGCCGTGCAGCACCGCGAGGTGCAGGGCCACGAGTCCCCCACCTTCCTGGGCTACTTCAAATCCGGCATCAAGTACAAGGTGGGTGTTCACTGGGGCTTTGTGGCACCTCTGGGAATGGAGTTTGCAACAAATGGCACCCTGCCCTCCTCCCGGGCCTCGGGAGAGTGAGAAGTGCCCTTTTTCCAGTTGCTTAAAACTCCACTCTCAGCCAGATGTTTTCAGTGAGTTGGAACAGGGTGGAGAACAGCAGATCCCAGTGGGAGAGATTTGGCTGAATTAATAATACACAAGAAAAGCCCCAGAAAATTTTAGGAATCGAGGTTTTGTTTTTCTTCGACAAGCAGAGGAAAGAACAGTCCCAGGACACCTGGAATGAATTTAAGCAGCCGTTGATGGGAAACGCCCACCCAGGAGATTTGATTTCTCCTCACTTGCATAGCAGTTTGACCTTCCTAGGCTCTGTTTCTGTGCTGAATCCTCCTCCTCAGCATGTGCAGTGTTTTGGTAAAGCAGATGAACAGTAGTGGGAGTTTTTCTTCCCTGCCATCACAGTGAAGTGGGATAGAAGTGAAAACATGCAGTGAAGAGCAGTTGTGTCTGTAGGAATCCAAAGGCACAAGGAAAGCGGTATCAGGCCAAATGCTTGCAAAGTGCCCACATTTCCTCATGTCTAAGACTTTCCTGGGCTTTCTGTCGTGCTTGTTTCCCACTCATTTGTTGTTATTTTCATTCACTTGAATGTGGTTGTGCTTTTCTTGAGGATAAGTGACATGAGCCCTGTTGCCTGCATGGATAAGTAATTCTAAGTGTCTCTTTATCAGCAGAGAAAGTGAATCTTGAGGTTGGGATAATCTCTGGTAGGCAGGACATGTTATACACATGGAAATGCACTGTTCAGCAGTCCCAGTGTGAATCCTTGTCCCTGTGTTTTCCCTCAGGCTGGTGGTGTGGCTTCTGGCTTCAGACACGTGGTGCCCAACGAGGTCACTGTGCAGAGGCTGCTGCAGGTCAAAGGCAGGAGAACAGTGAGGGCCACGGAGGTCCCTGTGAGCTGGGACAGCTTCAACACAGGGGACTGTTTCATCCTGGACCTGGGCAGTGTGAGTACCATGGAAAAGGCAGGTCTGGCAGATTTCCAGGGGCAGGAGCTGTCCCAGAGTCGTGGAAGGGTTTTTTTGCCCTGCTCTGGTGATGTCTGAAGCAGCCTGACATCGCTCAGTCCCAGCCATCGAGTCCCATCCCATCCAGAAAGGGGGTTGTCACACTCTGACAGATTCTCCTCTTTCCCCCAGAACATCTTCCAATGGTGTGGCTCCAACAGCAACCGGCAGGAGCGGCTCAAGGCCACAGTACTGGCCAAGGGCATCCGGGACAACGAGCGCAACGGCCGCGCCAAGGTCTATGTGTCCGAGGAGGGATCCGAGCGGGAGGAGATGCTCCAGGTCAGTCACTGCTCCAGCCTGTGCTGCAGGGGGAGGGTGGTGTGTGGAAGGGTCGGTGGGGTGGGTGGGCAGGCTCAGTGCTGTCTTTCCCCGTGGAGTGTCAGTGGTGTGATCACACAGCTCGGTGCAGACTCAGTTCTCTGCATCGCTGGGACATCAGGGTGTACTTACACTGTTGGTCTGGAATTTTCTTCTACTTGTTCCCCTGACTGGAGCATCTGGGAATGAAGGTCCCCTTGGACTGGCTGGTAATGATTTTTCTCTCTCTCTAGGTCCTGGGACCAAAGCCCACTTTGCCACCAGGAGTTTCTGATGAGACCAAAACCGACACAGCCAACAGAAAGCTGGCCAAGCTCTACAAGGTAACGAGATCCTGACGTGACACTGGGGAGAACAGAGTGCTCTTTGTTCACTTAGATGGGGCTGGAATAGGAGAGAGGAGTTGAGCTGATCCCAGTCCTGCTCCTGCCTCACTCTGCTGTTGGCTTTTTATCAAGCTTTGTGTATGAGCCTTGGTTGCTCACACCACGTGTCCATGTGCTTTTGGTGTCCTTATCACCACTCTGGACTGTAGGGAGACAGTAATGATGGGTGAATCTCTGCCAGAATGGTTTGTAATGTGGAACTTCATCCCTTAATCAGTACAGAAACTCAGATTAGTAACCCCACTCGATTCAGAGAGGTCTGTTCTCAGTTACCCTCCATCCTCGAGTGCAGTTGGTTGGCTGTAGAAGGTATCTCTTGGCTGCCTTTGCACCAAGGATATTTACCACTTTGGACCAATCTCTCTTTGGTCCCAGCAGTACCTGCTTTGCTGGAAGTGTTTGAATTCTTCAGAATGAGTGTTATGTTTTTGTCATACTGTTTCTGTGTCAGAGGTATCCTGTTTGAAAACAATAGTGCCTGCAGAGCCAGTGCATTCAGATGTGTTTCCCTTCCCCTGCCTGAGCTCTGAGCTGTGGAGGGGGAGCAGGGAGTGCCTTTTTGTGACCTCTGTGCTGTGTTGTCACAGGTCTCCAATGGGGCTGGGAACATGGCAGTGTCCCTGGTGGCAGATGAGAACCCCTTCTCCCAGGCAGCCCTGAGCACAGACGACTGCTTCATCCTGGACCACGGCACAGATGGGAAGATCTTTGTTTGGAAAGGTACCAGAGACAACCAGGGAGAAAATAGTTGATATCCTAAGTAGAAAGGCAGTTGTGTGTTCTCTCAGCCATCACAAAAGGCACAAAAGGGATCAAACACTTGTCATTTGCTATTTGGCATCATTTATGTGGGAGGCCCTTCTACTGTTGCAAAAGGTACCTGGGGCAGTTTCTTCTTTGGGTAAAAAAAACTGACCTCTTTTCTCTCTGTTTTCATCGAAGGCAAAGGTGCCAACTCTGAGGAGAAGAAGGCAGCACTGAAAACAGCTTCTGAGTTCATTGACAAGATGGGTTACCCCAAACATACCCAGGTGAGGAGGTGCAGCCCTCCTGTGACCAACCCCAAGCACGGGGGACACTTCTCTGCCTCACGGGCTGGGGACTCCACTCCTG